TCAACACCCACACACACGCACAGCGGTTGGGAGCTCTTTGCTCTCAACACACTTACTTTCGCTCTCTCAACACCCACACACACACGCACAGCGGTTGGGAGCTCTTTGCTCTCTCAACACACTCACTCTCTGGACACACACACACACACACACACACATCTTTTGATCTCTCTTTGCTCTCTCATCACACTCGCTCTCGCTCTCTCACATGCACGCACTGTGCACGCACACAGAGCTCTTTCCAGCATAGCACACTTTGCAAGAAATAAAAAAAAAGAAAACGTGTGGTACCTAGAATTAACAATACCCTTTAGTGAATGAGCTTCAAAAATATTCGGTTCTAATTATTTTTTAATATTTGCTATAAACTGGTAATATATCCTTTTCTAATATTCCATAAAACATTATATCACATTAAATGCTTGTCTAAATATGTGCGATTTCAAATCACACAAATAGTTATTGCATACGTTTTAAAGAAATTATAATTTAAGGCTTAAAACTGACGTCTCACAGATATCACGTTGAGCAATTGAAGTTGTTTTGCGAGAAGAATGTGACTCCAATATTATATTTTATTGGTTTTGGACCATTACTGTTACGAAGGACATGAAAAATGGAAATAGTCCAAAAGCCGAAATCTAGATATCATTTGCCAAAGAAATTTAGTAATTTTTACATGGAAGTGAATCATTCTTTTAATTTTATGGAAACGTTATTGATTGTTATTGCCTTCGTTATGTACCTCGATATACACTTATAACTTAGCTGCATAGAGAGTATCGAGGTTACGAGGGAAATATGAAAACAGTTGAATCATGCCACATGTTTTCTGATGGAAGGAATTACGGGAGGAATATATGAAAAGAAACGGAGTTCAATTAACATCTAGTAAATAAGTAAATCTGAATCAATAAAGTTAGGTAACAAATAAAATATTTTATGTACCACGAGCGTTATCTGGTAGTAATGGTCGGGTCAAAAACCCTCGGGCTTTCTGACGCTGCTCGATCATTAGAACCCATATATTGCTCTTGGTGCATTAATAACTATTGATGAAATTTTGCTCAAAACGCTTATTGCTTCCTTTATTCATAATTCAACTTAAAGCAGTTTAAGAGCAAGAGTAGGGGTTCCGTAGCTAAAGCAACCTCTCCCATTCGTGACAGACAATTCAACTATTTGTTGGCGTTCAATCAAGAAATAAATGGGGCCGGTGGGCGCTCACCGTCGCTCCACTTGGAGGCCTGCGTCTGCGGCGCGTCCGCAGCCGGGGGAGGGGATCGGGCCGAGTACAGCCGCCGCGACACCGCCCCGAAGGTCTTCAGGGCCGCTGGCGGCTGCTACAACACACGCCCGGCGTTCGCTTCGCCTCTCTATAGCCTTCAGGACTAGACGTTGTTCGTTGACCCAAGACGTTGTTATTGAACTGTTTTTCTTACAGATAGCGGGTTGTTTGATACCTGGGAGTAAATTCTATTCACTACTATGGTTAAACAGCCTCGTACAGCTGGGTTTTGTCAGCTTGTTACTTAATGAAGTAGAGTATGAACTGGAACAAGAGCTCGTTAGTGGGCCAAGGACATCGGTTACGGGGTACGTGTGGTTAGCACATAGCCATATTTACACCATATTCTAGTCTTTTAAACCTGGTAAGTGAGTTTTCTCATCGCCACGCAGGAATGAATACTAGGATATTGCAAGGCAAGCGAAAACTATAATCTGCCCCGACCGGGAATCGAATACGGATCGCGTCCTGGAAAGCGAGTGCGCCGATTCCTGAGGGGCTAGTATATTCAAGAGTAAGTATTGATTCTGTGCGTATCAATTGCTGAGGGTATTCGTTCCGTAAAAGTGTAGTGTAGGGTGTTGACGTCCCGATAGAAAGTGAAAGTTGGCACCGATCTACTCGTTTCGTTGCGTGTTTTCCTCCTCCATGTATTTCCTCCAGCGGGGCAGCGCCTCGGCCGGGGAAAGCTCTAAGAGCAATGATGTCAATTGATTGACTGATTACATATATTAATACACATAACTGTACATATATTAATACAATTAAAGAATTACCATTTACATTTACATTTAAAGAAGACAATGCAACGTAGCGTGCAATGTGGGAAAATGGCAACGTAGCATAGCGATCGCACTATCAAGCAAATTCAGTTCTTTACGGCAACAGAATATAATTGAGTCTGCAAGTTCATCTAAGCGAAAATTACTGCTATATGAACATGTAGTTAGTTACACTGTAGTTATCAGTGTAGCACAAGTGTATCACAAGTTTCATTTCGACAACTTCAGTTTCAAGAGTTAATAGTTCAGTTTGAGAATAATTATAAAATACTTTCTTTACACAACAAATAAGAATTTTATTTATTTTTCTCGACAGCTGCTATAATTACTAGTTTCGTAGATATAGACCCTGTTATATTCTGAGAAGTAGCTGTGTTCCTAGCCCGCTGAACTATGAGATTCGTCGCCCACCTACACTTTGGTTGGGGGAGTTTCCTTCTTCCTGTGATTTCCGCCAGTGAGGCACCCCAACCAAGACAAGCTCCATTCTCCAGACATGTGCAGTAGTGCAGTGCATGTTACTGTAAGTGCATTTGTAAGGGACGAGGATGGTTCAAGGAATAGGAAGGAATGATTGAGCGCGGTTCTTAGACCGAATGTTAGGGTTGTGCTCCGGCATCCGCCTCATATTGATAATAGAAATCACGGAAAACTACCGATCGGAGCAGCTGGCCGCTCGTCCAGATAGTGGCTGAGCTCGACCTAGCTGACACGATACTGCCAAAATCCTGCCATCGTCGGGACTCGCATCCTAGCACCTTTCGGTCAGAGGCATTGCAGTGGCCTGAGTTGATGCCCTGAGCCACCTCAGTCGATTTCCTGATAATTATTAATTTTTTGGCTTTCAAGGCGGATAAAACGTGAGTGTTTGGTGCTTCAACGCTCGAAATCTCCCACCTGACGTCGTTGGGGGCTGAACGCCCTCCGCGACCCAGCACTGCCCACGTGGGCGACCTGCTCCTTCGTTTGGTCCAGGAACTTGGGCGGCTTCAAGTAGATTCTGTTGCCCTGCAGACTCCTCTCGATTCGGAACTCGGGGCTCGCCTCCTGGAAGAGGCTCCTCGTTGGGCCCTGAGGCGGCTCGGGGTATTTGAGCGAGTCATCCTCGAGGTTCGCGTTCGCTTGATCGGTCTGATCGATGAAGTCGTCGTAGGCTGAGCTCAGCGCCTTGGCCTCCTCGAGGCACTTGAGGTCCTCTTCGTCGTACGTGGGGCTGAGTCCGCTCTCGTCCTCGGGGTACTTGGCGTTTTCATCGTTGTTGGCGGCCATCAACATTTCGTTTACCATCTCAGGGTGCTTCAGTTTCTCCTCGTCGTAATTTGAGTTTATCGTTCGGGCGCGCTCAGGAAATTTGGCGTCGTTTGGAGAGTACAGGCTGATCCACTTCCGAGTCCTTCTCGGGTACTTGTGGTAATCCTCTCCGAAATTCGCGTTCAGGTCTTGCTGCAAGCCGGGGTTCCCGTCGTCGTCCTCAAGGTCTGCCGGAGAGTTTTCGTACGCCAGGTCGTCCGCATCGGAATTCCAGTCTCGTGCACCTGTCAAACAAACATTTGTCTGACATAAAGAATGAAGTAGGAAGCATGATTTATTTCCATTTCATTGGGCACCTAAAGATATTCCTGGTATTTTACATAGAATTACATAACTTTTATATAATTACACAAAAACAGGATTTTTGTGTTAGCTAATTCATATTTTTATTGATTGAAACATACGATTCCAAAATTGTTTTTAAAGTTTATTCTATAGACTTTGAATTATATTTTTTTCAGATTTAGGATGTTATTAAAATGGCATTTTACCGTTAATTAGTGGTTTGAACGTTCAGAGAGAGTGCTACATAAATAAGTTAAACTTATGTCTTCTAAAATGTGGTAAAGTATACTGAATTATATTACCAAAAATCCTAGTAGGACCCGCTGTTATTACATGTGTGATGCATAGCACTCTTGCAGAAGGAAATATATCTGTAATTGCATCATTTATTTTTTACTACGTGTGGTGGTAACGAAATATTTTCGCACTAGCCTAAGTAACTCGTCGTTGCACAAGTATTTATGCTCTTGCCGCTCCAGCTTGTCTGCCAAACAGTTTCCTGCTCATTGAGCATTCCAAATAATTTCCTCCTTATTAGGAGCGTAACTGGATGTGGGGTAACAAGGTTGTGGAGGTCGCAAACCGCTTATCATTTTTCACGGCTGCTTGAGCGTGTTCGTGCAAAATTAGGAAGAAATTGCTCCAGTGGTTCAGAATTTTTGGTGAAACCAACATACACACATCCATGTTTACTTTGATATATGAAGTTTATATGGTGTCAATCGTACCTCCCACTTCATTTGCGTCTTCCTCAGTGTTTGAGGACACGTAGTACTGCACCATTGTTGAAGAGGGACCAGACTTTTATCCTCAATTACGAAGCCACATACGGCCTTTTATTCAGTCTGAAATATTACGCAACAAACATGAAGTTACAAACAGTAACGTTTCAAAGGTCATAATTCTATTTAGAGATAAACATCCACATTGTCTTAAAATGAGAAACTAGATACACAAATTTTAAAAAAACAACAAGAAAAACTTGAAATTTTATATTTTCCACCGAGATGCTGGTATCCAGGCAGATGCTCTAATTGGCAAGTATGGAATCAAACATTGCATTCGCGACAATTTAACAATCGTTCAGCAACATGCGATCTTACATGCAGTACAATAGTCAAAAAGGGTGAAGATAAATTATCCCATTTCGCTTGTTTGCACCTTCATATAAACAGTACCATGTCTTTGTAGCGGGATTCTCCCTAACGGGAACATTTCCGTGAATATATAGTGGTTGTTTTTAGGCATAGAACTTTCTGTAGGCTATGTAAACGAGAAAGTAAAATTAATATTAAACTTCCGTACCTGAGATATTTGTATCACGTTGTGCCCCGTGGAAGAGTGTCTATAATGAGGTGTCTTCAGCGGCTTCAGGGTCTCAGGGCACGGTTTGGTGTCGATGGCCCATCGTGGTCAGGCGGAGCCCACGGACAAAGTCGTTGCCGAGGTACCGCTCCCCGGTGGCCACTCACTATAGAAACACAACTCCAACCGACCTGCGACAATCGACAATAGCCTCGAACATGTAGTGACGGTCCGTTGTTTCAAACGTCGGTGGAATTCCTTAGCTCAACATCGACTCGAACATTAAAATTCTTCAGCGATTCTAGTTCAAATATCTTAGATTAGGAACAAACGCACCCGGCATGTAGGGGAAGTGCTTCACATTAGTATTGAAATCAAGACCATTAAAGAAGAAATGATATCCTCAAGCCAGAAATACAGCAGAAGTCTATAAAATCAACCAAATCATCTCAATGTAGACAGTAGTGAAGTTAAACAAGATTACAGCGACATAAATTGCTAGATATAACTTACTGATTTCTACAAAAAGAAATATAAATGTTACTGTCGAGTAACATTTCCTTTCTTAAGCAATTTGTCTAATATTTGTTTAGAAATAAATTGCAAATAAACAGAATTACCAAAACGTTGGTGATTCACAAACATGTGGTCGGTGATCCAGTTGTCACCATTAACAAACCCAACCATCTGGGCATATTTGAAAGGTGACACCCTCCATTTAAATGAATTCTTCCGTTATTTAAAGAAATTTTGGCACTCACCTATCTATGAAGAGAGTGCAGAATGTCTCTTCATTTTATGTAAGATTAACAATGCTCCTACGACTATCGTTCCATTTGTTGAAAGGTAATATTACACTAAAATATTTGTGGGCATCCTGATAAGGTGTTGACATTTTTTCATACTAAAACTTTTGTATAATTTATTAAATGTCTCTTTATGTAGTGCCAAAGGCTTTTCTGCGCTCAATTCACTGATTGCTAATAGTGTTTGTTCAGCTCTGCCAACTTTCATCACCTCTTCCCTATCAAGTATGTTGTCATCGGGCCGCCAGGCGCGCTGCAAACGCCAGACCGATCAAAGGGTCATTAGGCCCTTCGTCTGTTGATCCTCATCGTCACGTTTTTGAGATGTTGACAAATATAAAAGACCTGCAAGTACTTCAACAGCCCTCTAACTCCAGCAGGCTATGTATTATCATTTCCTTATACTTTTCTAATTGTTGCACCTGGGTAGAATCTCTACGTTACATACCGAGCCTTCTCTACCCGCTCGGTTCATCTTCTCTAATTTATATTCCGGAAAAGGTGGCTCATGGCATCAATTGATGTCTCCGCAGTGCCTCTGACCGGGAGGTCCTAGGGTTCGACACTCGACGCTAGGTGCAGGAGTTTCAACACTACTAATGTCAAATACAACTGCAGTCTGGAGGAGACTTCTATCGGCTGGCTGCTCTGATCGATAGTTTTCCTTGGTTTCGTCGATCGACACCAGGCGAATGTCGGAGCAGTACCCTAACAAATGGGTCACGTGTGTGTGTGAGGTACGCACGTCGCGGCGCGTGGGGGAGGGCGGGTACTTGAAGGAGTCGTCGAGCGCTTCTTGCACGTCCACGGCCGCCTGCTCCAGCTGCGGCTGCATCTCGCGGATGACCCCGCGCAGCCGCGCCGCGTACACCGGCTCGTCCTCTGCGCACGCGCGCGCACGCGCACACGCTGTCACGCCGCGCTTCAACACACTGCGCCCGGACGCGGGCGGGTACAGGCGCGTCAACAGCGCCCAGCGGATACAGCCCGGGATTGAGTGATTCCGGACGCGACAACTGCTAAGATAACTAGTACCGTAAGTGTGGTCCTTAATTTTATCTTCGGAAAACTGCCTCTCAGAGCTGCCGATTGTTATCATTCCCTTACAGAGTAGCTGGATTCAATTAATTATTTCAATTAATACAACTAAAACACCGAGACTGCCCGCAACAACAAATTCAATTTTTCAATTAAAATTTGAGTACTGTAAGGATGAAAAATTGTGAGAAATATAATATACTATCATAAGAGAAAAAGAAAATGAAGCATTATAAGAGAAAAACAATAAAATATGTGGAAGTTAATTTCTGAACGATGCTTGAATGTTTTAAATAATATGTTGATCTATTTGTTACTAAACAAAACTTCCATTTTTATAATGAAAAATATCCTGATAATGTTTTATTATAAAACTTTTAAACACGTTAGAAATTTTTAAAAGTTATTAAGAAGTATATTTGTTAATTTTTTTGAAGAAATGTTCTTATAATATGCTACGTTCTCAATAGAATGCGTAATAAATGCACAGAGAAAGTAAAAACACTTTTATGTTTGCAATAAAGCATGGCACATTTATGATTTGAAGATCATCATATGATTTACGACACCAATGAGGAAAAATCAATTGAACTTCTGGTCTTTCATTATAATGAGTGGCTTGTTGAATACAATCTTCTATAAAAACTAACTTCATTTTGTAAGAGAAGGAACATCTTGTGTGTAGCTCCTTCTTGGAATAAGGATGAGTGCTATGCTGAGTATTTATTTTATTTTCTTCTGTATAATACATTTCGAGGCTCTTACCAGCGGTAAGTTCACGAAGACAAAGATCTTGTAACTGTAAAATGAATGTTGCTTAAATACTTATTAGAAATGATTATACCTAAGAATTAATTAGAACTGCACCTGCATGAGCATACGATGCAAATATTTATCTCCAGTCGTATTCTTTGTATCTAACTTATATTCATGTGATCAAAGTCTCTTCTTTTAGAAGAAGCTTGAAAATTATGTCTGTAAACAATGCTTTCCAATGAAAAATATTCCTTTTATTATTTATTATATGGGTTTTACATAATTAATTCGTACCACTAATAATTATATTCTATAAAAGCAAAGGAAAGGCTTATTTCTGAAATTATGATGCATTTCATTGTTCAAAGAGCTAACCTACTAGATTACCGATATCCCTAACTCAAAACTGTTATTATAGCTCAGTTAAAATGGGGAAAATAAGAGAAATCATTCATAAACTTTTGAAACTTTGCAAAAACACTGAGGGTTTCTCTCCACCTAGACGGGGTTGCATTCCCAATTACATTCTCCATATTGTGCAATGTTGTATTGTTTTCCAATTTTACGAATAATAGTTTCTTTTAAAAAGAAGTTTTATTTAAATAAACCTTTCTCTCGAAATTGTCTCACAAAATGCAATTTATGTTGTATGTACAGCGAACTGTTTTTGATACATCGCACTTTTGAAATCCACAGCACTTATTTTTGTCTTATTTTTATATTATTGAAAAAAATGATACACTTTCTTTACCAAGATCTCATGAAGAATTTGAGGTACAGGCTAGATTTGTGTATGTTATGTTTTCAAGATGTACGGAAATAAACATAAACATTTTAATTACATTATTATACATGACGATTTCAAATTGTCGTAATGTCTACTGACCCTAATTATTTACGTCCAGTATATTCAAAGATTAATTCAATGTGTATGTAATTTCGTGTTTTTCGTTTCATCTGAAAATACCGGGTCAGACCGGGGACCAGTTTTCTAAACTAAAAGACGTTAAAAAGGTCTTACAAATCGCCAGAGAGGGAATGATACATATTTTGGGTTTTTGGTTACTCTCCTTTAAGATCATTTTTCTTAAGAAGTCATATGTGAGATTTCTGGCATATGAAATTCCGGTTACCTTTTTACCAAGAACTCACCACAGAGGCTCACCACGTTTCTGCTCACTCTGATCGAAGAGTGAACCGGTCGAGTAAACTCAGGGCCATCATTGTCGCTGTCTCTGCAGCTTCTCTGGCCTGCAAGGTCTTGGGTTCGATATCCGACGACGGTAGAGAATTTTCGACAGCAGCTAAGTCGAATTCAGGCGGATTATAGACGGTTGATATGGCTCAATGACAAGTTTACCAGTACATCCAATTTTAGAATACGGAGCGGCATGCTGGGACCCGTACAGAAAAGGGCAAATCGAAGCGTTAGATAATATTAAAAAACGGGCCACAAAGTTTGTAAAACACGTGTGCGTTGGTGACGAACGAGAAGAATGGGAGTCCTTATCTAAGAGAAGGGAACGGACGAGTTAATGCGTAATGTATAAGACATACAGAGGAGAAACAGCATGAGCAGATATCGGTAAAAATTGCAGAAATCAGATTATAAAAGCAGAGGAGACCATCCTTGGAAAATACGATGTAGAAAGCAAAGAACTGATGTAGGCAAGTTCTCCTCTGTGAATTGCACTATAGTAGATTGGAATAAACTACCTACAGAAGCACTAGAGTCTCTTCCTTCTAATGTAGCCAAATTTAAAAATTGCCTCATTCCATCTAGATCATCTCGAACAATCCTGACAGATATATCTTTATTATTATTATTATTATTATTATTATTATTATTATTATTATTATTATTATTATTATTAATAT